GTGTGAACTGTCCCATAATCTTTGGATGAAGGGCAGTATACAAATGTTAATAATAATAATAATAATAATAATAATACAGTTCCCAGGATTTGAGATGTGTGTGCTTTGAATGTGCTTGAAAACTGCAGTGTACATTCAGCACAGACTTTGGACCTCTGATTTGACCACAAAATCAACTTATTCTCCAGTGAGCTTTAAGAATGATCACAGAGCAATTTCCCACAGAATGATTAAGAATTCTCAAGCTGTGGGTTTTATTTTACCAGGATTGTAATACCAACATAGACCAGATTGTTCCGTCCTTTCCTTCTAAATTATATACTGTAAGGAAACTTATTTCCCTGTCCTTGTCTATATGGAAAGTAATCTACAATGATAGATGCCTTCAGGTACACAGACCCAGTGTCAGATTGTGTGGCAACTTAAAACATTTAAAAGCTCAACACCATTTCCAATTTACTCTGAACCGGTTCCATGCTAGGCAGGAGGAGGGTGATAAATAATTTCTCATGGATCAAACGTTTGGTAAGGAAGAGGAAAACATTATATCATCTGGGCAGTATCTCAGCACAGTAGTTTGTTCTTGTTGGCCATAGAGGTCTGAAGATTATTTAGTGTGCAAGAGAGATGGACTCCTTCAAAGAAAACAAGTAGAGCAGTGGAGATTAAATACCATTAATCCTTATTTGATCTACTAATTATGGTGCCATCCCTTATTTAGATCTTGATTACAGTTAATGGTTTCTCTCTCTCTTGCATGATGCCCTCAGTATATTTTGAGTCTGATTAGGGCTAAGTTGAAACAAGCAGCTCGTTTTCACTTTTGCTCAGTGTGATAATTGGGCTTGTTTTAGAGAAAGACACACACACAGAGAGAGACATGGAGACATAGAGATATATAAATAAAAATACATATTTGTGCCCCTTTTCAAAAGTTTAAGAGGAGCATTGCTGGACCAGACAAAGTATCCCATCTAGTCCAGCATCCTGTTCCCACAGGTGGCAACCAGTTGCCTATATGGGAAGCCCACAAGCAGGATCTGAGCACAACAGCACTCGATTCCCAGCAACTGGTATTTCTTTTGGCACCCAAGACAGAAAATCCCAGGAGCCTTTTACCCTGGCAGTAGAAATACAATAGCAATACATGAAATAAATGAGCATTCACTGCCCTTTTCTGACACCCAGCATTACCTGCCTAAGGCAACTGTCTCACTCTATCTAATGGTCAGGCCAGAACCAACACTGACTATAACTAGATGCTATGGAACATGCCATCTCCTACATTCTCTATCATAACACCAGTTACTGGGGGGACAACTTATGGGACTTGCATACCAATGGTGGGCAGCACTAGAGGCACTGGAGGCAACAGGGATTACTCTTACCTTTGTACACTAAAAGTTAAGAGGTGTCTACATACCCCCGCAAACCTGTATCCATTTCTCCATATTTTATCCAGGCATTGTCATGGTTCTCCACGGTTGCTCCTAACTAACGGTTAGTGCAATATATAGATTGTACAGACTTTGACTCAAATGTTTATTATTTGTACTCCAAGATTTTCCAGGCTGCATCAATGCATCAAGCGACGTTATGAGAACTCATTGCCTTAGCTTCACATAGAAATGTCATTACAGAATTAAGATTTAAGGTAATGCCCTCAGCCTTTTTACTCCCAGAACAGTGTTTTTGTGTGTCTTGTAAAATGTTTAAAGAGAATATTGTTCATTATGTTTTTCAATATCTACTTTATTCTGAGTAAGTTCTTCTTCTTCTTCTTCCTCTTCTTCTGTCATTGCTGATTTTGTTGTTGTTGTTGTTTAATATGAAAACTATATTACTTTGCACGTTTCCTTATTTGCGCCTGCAACTGGGAATTTAGGTTCCTTTCGGCTTGGAGCTAAACAATAACATTACTACAATTACATTGGACATCTATCAAAAACCATCACATTTCTGTAAAAGATGCTTAGCTGGTTTCCAGTTTGAAATTTGCCAAACAAGTGCTCACAACCTGCACTATTGTTTCTAACCAGGTGTTAGTAGGAGAGAGAAGAAAAGAGAGATGCAAATTCTGTCAGAAAACAGTTTGAACAGATTAATCTTTGTTATTAGAGAATGCTTGATTACAAATCAAGATAAGGCAGTGTAGCAGTATATATTGTTCTTGTGGAAATCAGGAGCATGCAGAAGTTTTTCTTGCTGAAATCAGGAGCATGCCTTCGGGTTTCCATTCTTGTGTCAGCAGCATACAGTGACTGAATGTGGGAGGCACTCTGCACCACCAAGACCACTTAAGCCTCAAGTGACAGCAAAGGACCCTGAAGGACCCCCAAGCTATGCACCTACTCCTTCAGAGGAACTGTAGCCCCATCAAAAGCAGGCAAATGAAAAGAGGCATAGAAATTATTCTAATAATCAAAAAGAAAGAAAGATGAGCACATCCAAATAATCAATAAGCAGTGAAATTGAGAGTCTCCTCATGAACACTGCACAATCTTGTATGAAAACCTATATGATTTGTTGCTTGGTCTTACATGTTTATTTATGGGGATCGATAGCTATAATATAACCTGAGCATTCCTTAGCAGGCTGCAATCCATCAATCTCTCTCTTTCTCTTCATTAACACAGAGAAGGAGCAAACGTGTTGCTTTTGCACGTATGCTGTCATAAAGCTCTACTACAGGATCCATTTGTTCTCTACAGACTGACAGTGCTCTCCTGCCTTGACACTTGCTGGACCGCAGGCAATGGCAATACCTCCCTGCCAATCTTTATTCTTGACTGCTAATAGCAATGTCATCAGCAGGGACAATTTTCTTTTCTTTTTTTAAAAGTGACAATGGGAAACACTAAGAGGGCACAAACCAAGGATGCTGTTCAGAAGTGGTCTGGGGCCCCCAAGCCCTATGTATGTAAGAAGGCATCATTTTCTGTTTTGTCCTGTGCTCATTGCACACTGCACTGTTTCTGTTTCACTGCACTTTGTTTTCTGACAAAAACAACATTATACATCTCTCTGTCTGATGTGGTGTATGTAGTTTATGTCATTAACTATGGAAATCACATTGATGTTACGTCATTTCACCCCATTCATTTCAATGCAGAGAAAACACAGTACAAATGAAGGGGAGCACCATTTACATATTGTTTACACTCTGAAAGCAACAACAATGGTGCACTCTGATCATATTCACTGGATTGATTTCCCTTCTGGAAAGAAGAAGAAGAAGAAGAAGAAGAAGAAGAAGAAGAAGAAGAAGAAGAAGTAGAAGAAGAAGAAGAAGAAGAGGAGGAGGAGGAGGAGGAGGAGGAAGGACAACAACAACAATTTATTATCTATACCCCGCCCATCTGGTTTGGTTTCCCCAGCCACTCTGGGCGGCTCCCAACAAAATATTAAAAACACGATAAAACATCAAACATTAAAAATTTCCCTAAACAGGGCTACCTTCATATGTCTTCTAAAAGTCAGGTAGTTGTTTATTTCCTTGACATCTGGTGGGAGGGCGTTCCACAGAGCAGGCGCCACTACTGAGAAAGCCCTCTGCCTGGTTCCCTGTAACCTGACATCTCACAGCGAGGGAACCACCAGAAGGCCCTTGGAGCTGGACCTCAGTGTTCAGGCTGAACGATGCGGGTGGAGACATGGGATGAATAGGCAAGCACTGGCAATTTCTGTTCCCATTTTTGTTTTTATCGGAATCTTCTGACGTTCCTAGCAAACCACGAGTGCTTTCTTCTGGGACCCAGTTCTCCTGTCCTTTCCTCTCCTTTTAAAACCTTTTCATTAAGAAAGCAAATAAACTTTGTTTACAAGACAGCTGTGCATGGTGCAAAGTGCTGTAACAGTAAGACCTTAGCCACCCACTATCTTGATATGCCCGGAGGCACTCTATACATTGATGCTGATTTGGGCCCCTGACCCAAAGTGACCTTCCAAAGGCTTATGAAGATAAGCTGAGCCCTGTTGGATCAGATCAAAGGTTTGCCTAGTTCATCATTTTGTTCCACACAGTGGTCAGCCAGCCAGGGCTACCTCTCAACCTGCCTCCCAACAAATGGGGCACACTATTCCTGGATTTGGAGATTCAGTTTAGCTACCCCTGCTAATAGCCATCAAAAGACCTGTCTGTTTTTCTATGTCAGGGGTAGTCAAGCTTTTTAAACCTACCGCCCGCCCACTAATGCATCTTTCTTGATGGTAAAATTTCCTTACCGCCCACCAGTGTTCGATGGAAAGAGGATTCAGGTTGTGCCGTAGAACCCCCTACCACCCACCTAGAATCCTGAAACACCCACTAGTGAGTGGTAGGGACCATAGCTGTCAACTTTCAGATTTGAAAATAAGGGATCAGCAGCATAGCTGTCAACTTTTGGATTTGAAAATAAGGGATCAGCAGCCTCACCTGTCCCGGAGACAGTCTACGGGATATCTAACAATCTGTGATAGCAGCAGGAAGCAGCGGGAAACGGCGCTGAAATAAGGGAATTTCCCGCAAAGAAAGGGAAGGTTGACAGCTATGGTAGGGACCAGGTTGACAACCCCTGGTCTATGTATTGTCTAGCTCTCCTTTAAAGGGGGTTTAAAAGCCTGTTGCACTCACAGAGCGCATTCATTCATTCATTCATTCATTCATTCCATTTATCAGTTGCCCAGCAGCAATAGTTCTCAGGGCAATGCACAAAATAAAACAGGTTAAAAATTACAATTTCAGTAAAACAAGAATCAATAGCAGGGCAGGGCAACTAAAACAATAAGAGAATCAACAGCAGAAACATAGGGAGTGGAATTTCACAGCAAGAATCAATTAATACAGTCAGTCAAACGGGTATATCCCTCAGAACTACAGGTGGGCTAAAACTACAACACATTACAAATATCTTTAAAAGAGGGGGTATCCTATTAATCTGAAGGTTTCCTCCCCATATTTTTCAGACATAAAATGTTAAAATAATGCCCCAGGGATGGATGGATGGATGGATGATGTGAGAGCCTGTGTGGTGTAGTGGTTAGAGCGTTTGACTAGAACCTGGGAGACCAGGGTTCAAATCCCCACTCAGCCATGGAGCTCACTGGGTGGCCTTGGGCCAGTCACTCTCTCTCAGCCTAGCCTACCTCACAGGGTTGTTGTGGAGATTAAATGAGGAGGGGGAGAACCACATATGCCACATTGAGCACCTCAGAGAAAGGAGTGGGATATGAAATAGATAATAATAATTAATATTAATATTTATTCCAGGCTATGAAATAAGGGTGGAGAAATGGAACAATTGATAATTATAGAGATAAATATTGTCTCCAGTTATTGTGGGTTGGAGCCTCTTCTTCTGGGCCTACAAAGTAAGTAACCTTGCTTTGTATAAGTGGTTCCCAAACATGGGACCACTTGAAAATTGCTGTTGGTCTTGGTGGCCCACTTAATGATTTTTCTGCCAGTTGTAGCACCTTGTAGTAAATACACTGTGCTAGAAGCTGTGTGATTTTTAGTTTTAACTGGACTTTAAACAAAATGGCTTTAATTGGACTTTGAAAAAAATGTGCAATTAATTGTTATTGTTTTCAGTTTTATTGTGTTATTATCTTCCTTTGTGGGTTCTGCAAACCGCTATTCTGAACAATGCTTTTTATGTGGTATGGTAGAGGGCACTGGGGGTAAGTTTATGGAACAAAGGGAGCGATGGTCCAAAAGAATTTGGGAACTATTATTCTAAAGTGACTCTAGAGATAGCAACCATTTTGTGCAGGTTCTGCTCCCAGCCCCCTGCATGTCGGTGGAGCATGTAAAAATGCACCCTGCCCCGTTCCGCCCCCAATCTTCCTTCCTCTGGGTCTAAAAGGACCCGTGCATCAGCAATCATGGGTCATTTGGATGCGCCTAAAATGGTCGCCACCTGTACTTTAGGCTTCTTTGGGAGGAAGCAATTAAGTAATAGCAATAATTCCCTTTTCCCTTACATTTGAATTTTGAATGTATCCAATATGCTGAAACTCACATCTCTCCATCTACTAAAAATTTCCTCGTCCCTACTTACAATCTCAAATGGCACGCAAAAATGAAACCCCCAAAATCTGAAGCAACAAACTATCAAAATTTAGATAGGGAAAGATAGGGCAGACTGAAAAAAGGTCAGATCTCCCCACAAGATCTCAGGCTTCAAATGCAACCCCTTTCCCTCTTTGTTTGATTGTGCGGAAGGTAAAATTAGATGTGTGGATCTAACCTGTCAATAAAATACAGCTCAGAGTTTGCTGGCTGCAGAGGGCCCCGAAGGTATTTGTAACCACAGACTACAATATGACAATTCTTACTGTGTGACTTCCCAGTTTAATAATTTGAGCTGAAGATCTGATTGTTACCACCAGTTCAGAAAGAATTGCCAGACAAAAAGCCCCCACCTCTCTCTCTCTCTCTCTCTCTCTCTCTCTCTCTCTCTCTCTCTCTCTGCAGTAATTAAGGAGATAATGCAACCGAGGCCTTACCCTACTCTACGTCAGTCCCAAACCACAGAGTATCTGGAGCTCTGCAATTCAAAGTCAGTCCTTCCTGAATGAAGAGCGTTCACTCCTGGGAAGCATAAAAGAGAGTGCAGAGGGTTCAGAAGAATAGAATAGCTTTGGCTGCCTGCTTTTTGCCTATATATAAAGTTAAACAGCAGTTCAAGTGCCATCTCTTAACACAGGGATAGAAAACTTCGGGCCTGGGTCCCAAATGTGGCCCTCCAAGCCTCTCTATCTGACCCTCTGGACTCTCTCTGGCCACATCCCTCACCAGCCCTGCTTTGTACCCACCTCTAGAGTTTTTGCTTGGCTCTTGAATGTCGATACTGCCTCTTACTTGCCTGCTAGGTTCCACACACCTGGCTTAGCAGCTCATCCAAAGCCCAGCTGCTGCACCTGACTTCTCTTCCCCAGACTTCCAGTTTAGGGGAAGGAGAGGCTGTTCTACCGCAGAGAAATGTCATATTTCAGGGCATGTAAGAGCAGCCCCAATGTTGTCATTTTGCACTATTTGAAGTAGGTCTCTTTAACAGTCCTTCTGGATGAAAAGAGCGAGTGGAAAGCTAAACAAAACCAAACAGGTTTGTGCACAATGAAGCTGAACACCAGAGCCACCAACCATGCAGCCTGCCTGGGAGCTGACCACTGGTGTACATTAGAGACCTAGTGTTGCTGGAGGCAGGGAGTCTAACAGCCAGTGGAGTCAAGGACAGGCACAATGTCCCCATCTTCCTCTTCTTTCCTGCTGAGTTTTATAATGACAACACTAATGAGACTAAGGAGGAGGATGATAGCAGCCCCAGTCATTTCCTGGACTGGTTGTAAGGAAGAAGGCAGACAGGAGGGGCTGGCTAAGGGCAAATGGAGGATGGTGGGACAGCGCCCCATTTCCCAAATGGACCAGCCTCTCCTGCAGCTGCCCTGCTTTTGTAGTCTCAAGCAGGAGGTAAAACAGAACAGGTTTACAGAATCTTTGGTGTGCTGTCCTATATTGTGATAGGACTGCCTTTGGCTTGGTAGGTCATACAAGTCTATGCTAAATTTGTGTAGCAATACTGCCTGAGCCAGCCACAGCTCTCACAGGAGCATAGGAAGCTTCCTTGTACTGAGTCAGTCCACTGGTCCATCTAGTTCATCACAGGCAGCATCTCCCCTTGGTTCTAGGCAGAAGTTTTTCCCAGCCCTGTCTGGAGACACCAAGGAATGAACCTGTGTCCTCCAGCATGCCAGACAGATGCTCTTCAATTGAGCTGTGGTTCACAACTCCTCATCTGCACCATTATAATTATATTTTAATGTAGGGTTGCCATATGTCCAGAATCTTCTGGACACATCTGGAATATTGCAGTTGGCAGCAGTTTCCAGGTGGAAATCAGCAAAATGTCTGGGAAAATCCAGATGTACCGTATTTTTCGCACTATAGGACGCACTTTTTCCCCTCCAAAAATGAAGGGAAATGTGTGTGCGTCCTATGGTGCGAATGCAGGCTTCACTGAAGCCTGGAGAGCGAGAGGGGTCGGTGCGCACCGACCCTCTCGCTCTCCAGGCTTCAGGAGAGCCCCAGCGCCAGCCCCACAAGGTCGGGGGACAGAGGAGGCGGAGCGCCGCCATCCCGCTGTCTCCCGAAGTGGTTTGGAGGCTGACGGCGGGAGACCCCGCCGCCGGCCCCGCAAGCTCCGGGTCAGCTGGGAGGCGCAGCGCGTCTTCCTGCTGTCCCTGGACCTGATCTGAAGGCGGGCGGCGGGGAAGAGCGCTTCTCCCCGCTGCCTGCCCCCAAGCTCCGGGGACAGCAGGGAGACGCAGCGCGTCTTCCCGCTGTCCCCGGACTTGATATCAAGGCGGGCGGCGGGGAGAGCAGCGCTTCTCCCCGCTGCCTGCCCCAGCTCCGGGGACAGCTGGGAGACGCAGCGCGTCTTCCCGCTGTCCCCGGACCTGATGTGAAGGCGGGCGGCGGGAAGAGCGCTTCTCCCCGCTGCCTGCCCCCAAGCTCCGGGGAAAGCAGGGAGGCGCAGCGCGTATACCCGCAGTACCCGCACATGATATGAAGGCGGGCGGCGGGAACAATAGCGCTTCTCCCGCTGCCTGCCCCAAGCTCCGGGGACAGCAGGGAGACGCAGCGCGTCTTCCCGCTGTCCCCGGACCTGATGTGAGGCGGGCGGCGGGGAGAGCGCTCTCCCCGCTGCCTGCCCCCAGCTCCGGGGACAGCAGGGAGCGCAGCGCGTCTTCCCGCTGTCCCCGGACTGGTATCAAGGCGGGCGGCGGGGAGAGCAGCGCTTCTCCCGCTGCCTGCCCCCAAGCTCCGGGGACAGCAGGGAGGCGCAGCGCGTCTTCCCGCTGTCCCCGGACCTGATGTGAAGGCGGGCGGCGGGGAGAAGAGCGCTTCTCCCGCTGCCTGCCCCCAAGCTCCGGGGACAGCTGGGAGGCGCAGCGCGTCTCCCGCTGTCCCGGACCTGATCTGAAGGCGGACTGTGGGGAGAGAGCGCTTCTCCCCGCTGCCGGCCCCACAAGCGCCTGGGGGAAATAATTTTTTCCTTTATTTCCCCCCCAAAAAACTTGATGCGTCCTATGGACCGGTGCGTCCTATGGTGCGAAAAATACGGTATGTCAACCCCCATGTCAAACAACTTTGGGCAAAAAAAACCCAACCCTCAACAACTTTTTTGTCCTGATCTTCACTGTTTGAAAATGGCAACACTATTTGAGGTACATAATTGATTCTCCTAAGGAATGCAGCTTTCACTTAAAAAAAAAAAGTTTCTTCAGCCTGGAAAATGCATAAAAGTACATGGGCTGATTAAATCTAAGGAAGCTGAAGGCGAGAGGGTGGCTGAGTTGGCAGCTTTGCAGGATATCCAGCAATTATGGGTATAGGGAGTAGGATGGTTGAGGCTTTGCCAACTTAGCAATCAACCTTTCCCCATGACCTGAAGAAGCCAAATAGGTGGTGCAAGGTAAGCAGATTTATGCAGATGTACTTGTTATGCATACGCAGGTGGTGCTGTGGTCTAAACCACTGAGCCTAGGGCTTGCCGATCCGAAGGTTGGCAGTTCAAATCCCCGCAATGGGGTGAGCTCCCATTGCTCGGTCCCTGCTCCTGCCAACCTAGCAGTTCGAAAGCATGCAGTGCAAGTAGATAAATAGGTACCACTCCGGCGGGAAGGTAAACGGCGTTTCCGTGCGCTGCTCTGGTTCGCCAGAAGTGGCTTAGTCATGCTGGCCACATGCCCCAGAAGCTGTATGCCGGCTCCCTCAGCCAATAAAGCGAGATGAGGGCCGCAACCCCAGAGTCGTCTGCGACTGGCCCTAATGGTCAGGGGTCCCTTTACTTTTACCTTACTTGTTATGCATACTTGTTTTTTGTTTTATTAATGAGTGGCACCTCCTGAGGATGGAGGTGGTGGTGTCCTCCCAGAAGCTCTACATTCATTGAAATGAGGATGGGGCGGATCACGGTTGTGGAAACCCCAGGATGGCAGTGGTGGCCCCACAAGCTCAGTGTGCTGCTGCTGTCCCAGACCCCCCTTTAACCACACAACTGCCACTCTTGCCCATCCTTGTTTCTAG